ATCATTATGATAAAGACTTCAAACAATGGAGATAAAAGGACTACTCCACACGAAAATAAAGGTCATAGATGATAAATCCACAGCTCACATCATACTCAATGGTAGAAAACTGAAAGCTTTTCCCCACAGATCAGGTACAACACAAGGATGTTCACTTTCACCACTACTGAACATAGTATTAGAAGTCCTAGCTAGAGCAATTAAACAAAGAAAGATATAAAATGCAAAACAAACTGAGGAAGAAGTAGTAAAACCATCACTACTTGACATGATAATATACATAGAAAAACCCTAAAGGCACCATTACCATTATAAGCAATAAATGAGTACTGTGAAGTGGCAGCTACAAATCAATATATAAAAACATGTTGTATTCCTATTTGTAAAAAAGAAACTGAAAGAGAAAGAAAATAAGAAAACAATCCCATTTACAACCACATTAAATATCTAGGAATAAACATAACAAATGAGGTAACAACAATCTATATAACGGAAATTGTAAGACACTATTAAAAGAAATAGAAAACACAAAAAACTAAAACTATATTCCTTACTCATGAATTGGGGAAAATATTGTTAAAATATCCATCTTACCCAAAGCAAAATATAGATATTCAATGCAATTCTTATCAAATTTTCAATGGCATTCTTCAAGAAAACAGAGCAAACTTTACTGAAATTTACATGTTATCACTAAAGACCCCAAAGAGTCAAAGTAATCCTGACATAGTTTGAATCCAATCTTAAAACTATACTACAAAGCTACTGTAATTGAAACAGCATGGTATTAGAGTGAAAATAGATGCACAGACCAATAAAATAGGATTTAAGGGCTCAAAAATAAAACTACACACAGATGGACAGTTAATTTACAAGGGAGTCAAGAGTATACAATGGAGAGAGTGAATTCTCTTTATCAGTGTTGGGAAAACTGGATAACATGAGGAAAAAAAGACTATACCATGACCTCATACCATCCAAAAAATTTACTCAAAATGGATTAAAGACTTGGATTGAGATCTGAAACCATAAAATGAATAGAAGAAAACATAGGCAAAACACTCCAGGGACATGACTTCTGCCTTCATAAACTCAATTTCAATAGCAAGAGGAGAAAAAAAAAAAGCAAAAATAAACAAACTAAAGGTTTCCACAAGGCAAAAGAAACAATCATTAAAATAAAGACACTACCAAATAGGAGAATATATTTACACATCATACATCTGACAAGTGACTAGTATCCAAGATCTACAAAAAACTCACACAACTGAAGAGAAAGAAAGCAAATAATCTAATCAAAAAGTGGGCAGAACTAGAACTAAATACAAACTTCTCCCCAAAAAAGACATACAAATGATCAAAAGATACATGATAAAAGGGTTATCAATACTTAACATTAAGGAATGCCAATTAAAAAAAAACACAAGGAAATACACTTCACACCTGTGAAAACAACCCACCTCAAAAAGATTAGAAACAAGTGCTGGTGAGGGTGTAGCAAGAAGAAGCCCTCATACATAGGTAGCAGCACTGTGTCCAAGCCAACCCAGTAAGCTCCATCCTGAATGCTTAGGGATGCCAGCTGGCTCCGTGGTGGGATTTCTCCAGGAACAGCATTCAGTTCTCACAAGGCCCCAACACTAAAGACCCTAACACTAAAGCATATAACCAACCCCCAGTCTCCACTGAAATTATTTCAGAATCAGCAGCCCCCATCTCTCCCCATGGCACAAAGTGGGTACTCAGACACCCCGAAAACCACAGGGAGCACTAGTACATGTCAGTGCCCAGCCTCACAATGAGGCCTTGTGGATCAACAAAAGAACTCACTTCCAGGCTCCAGGTACTCAAAGTTCTGGAGTAAAGGTCATTTTCTCTTCAAATAGTATAAATCCTATTAATATACAAATGTTTGTAATTTTAAACTAAGCTAATCTCCGATACACAGGCACAAAATAACACAGATGAGAGATGAACACATACTGCACAGGTATTTTATACTCAAAAATAACCTAAAGTAATAGTAACTAAAACTTACTACATATCCTTTTGATTCATGATTTCAAGCTAGCTTTCAAGACAAATTCTATCATGGGTCTCACAAATAAAAACAAAACAAAACAGAATTCAGAGAGATTAAACAAGCTCACAGCCACAGAGCTACTCAGCTGCTAAGCCAGGATGTTCTTGAGGCTATATTCCTATCTCTCCCATCTCAGTGGTAAGCACATATTTAAGGCTATATTCCTATCTCTCCCATCTCAGTGGTAAGCACATATTTAAGGCTATATTCCTATCTCTCCCATCTCAGTGGTAAGCACATATTTAACAGAACAGTGATCCCACTTTTAACACTGAAAGCTTCCACGGCCTAGCTATTTCACCCTTGTCAATGAATACTCTTTATTACATTCTAAATGGGGATCATTTTCCCACTAGACATCTTTTTAACATTCACGTGGGACACTCAGTGGGTGAAACTCACTCTTTCCTGTGCCTTCTCTCCACCGTTCACTACCCTGCCAATTCCAACTCTTAACACTTTCTGTAAGCCTTTCTCCAGTTACCACCCCAAAGGCATCAACATCAGTTTCTAGATTGGTTTCCCTACCTCCAGAATGAGGTTCTGAAATGTCAACCTGGAAGACCTGTCACTTCCCTCCTTAAACCATTTTCATGGCACCCCATTAGCCCTAGGCCTCTAGACCTTCTTACACCATTGACAAAGCCATCTGGCCACTGCCTCACTATGCAGACTAGTTTGTTAACTACTCTCCTCACTCAACCCAAACATGAAAAACAAAGGCAAGCTGTGTTCTAGGGCCTCCTGGCATTCACAAAAGCTTTTCCCTCCATGTTTTTCCATGCACACTGCTCCTCCAGACAGACAATCCTGGTTTTCTCTGGCCTGGATTGGCTGGATGGCACTCCCTCCCAGCACTGGACTCATCATTTTGTATAGCGATCACGTCATTTGTCTCCTCCTCTGTATGACAGGAACCTCAGGGCAGGGTGACAGGCTACTTAACCAGTATAGGCTTGGTCCCCAGCAAGTTTAAAGTCAACTTAGGCAATTCTACCACAGTACTGACCCAATCCTTTCCTGACTTCGCCTATTGCTCAGAATTAGTCTGGAAGAGAATGTGCACATTGGCATGTTAAAAAGGCTGAAGATTAATTGGAATTTGAAGCCTGAATATTGCTGAAGCAAGGAGCAGTAAGCTCAGCATGGTGAGCCTCACATAGGTCAGGGGTACAGTTTGATGTAGTAGACTCATCTGCCTTGGAAGAAATGAGCTTTAACCCTAGGGCATTCGAATAGACTTGATCTCCAAACAGGGCTGCTTGTAGGCTTTTTCAAATAATTTAGCCAAACACACACACACCACTTTGTAAATTATATACAAACACAAAAATCCCCACAAAATGGCAAGTATATATATTGGAGAAGCATCTGTTTACTTCTCTCAAAGTCTCAAAAGCACTTTGCATTCTGATTAACACAACAAACTGGAACACCAAGCCGAGGTCTGAGGGAGGGGAGTAACCAGCTAGTGAAGTCTCACCTTGCCCTGTTCCCTCCAGCATGAGACCATTTTGCAAAGGTTCTAAATTGACTATAGAACATGAAAGTCGTTCAGAATGCTGCTTTGCTTTTCAAGGAGGCTCAATGTTAGCAAAGTGGCCAGATCTAGTCTTCTCTCCCTGAAGTCAAGCACCCAGCTACTCTACTCCCATTTCTTGGAAGCCTTCCTACTAATTCTAGAAATGCAGACTGATTCAGTTATTTCTGGGTGGAAAGCTGGAAGTCAGGCTGCTGGAAGTCTGTCTATCTAGGACCTTTCAGTTTCCTCCAAGGATGAAGAAGATGGGGGTTCACCTTCTCCCTGGATTATCGGTTACTACTGATGTTTCAGAGGAAAGGCATTTTACACAGATGAGGATTAAACAAGGACCAAATTCAATGGACTGCCTGGCCCAAGCAAGTAAAGGGAGGTCAATGGCAAGGTCGAGAAGAGTAGAAAGCATTTGGGTTCTCCCTTTGGGTCATCCTCAGGGAGCACTGAGTGGGACAGAAAGGCCATATGCCATATGAAGGAGGCAGCCAGCACACCAGTCAGCTCAAAGAGTGACAGAAACTAGGGCTGCTGGTGCATGGTTTACTTTTACAAGAGAAGCTCCACAGAGGTAAGTGACGTTTGAAATTTTACATGACAGCAAACAATTTATGGGTTTTTTTGTTTGTTTTTTTAACTATCATCTATCTACTCCCTGCCCAAACCCCCCAAAAAAGAAAATCCACAAGCAACCATTAATCTCTAGTATTTTGATGCCAATGTCAGATTTGGAAGCAAATCTAGCACTCTTGTTTTCTATTTCTTCATGTCTTTGGTCTATCAATGAACTTCCGACTCGCACTGTTTTCTTAGGGAAAAACAGGATGAGACAGGAAACACCATAGTGCTTATTAAATATTTAAAACAATGCACAACATAGGGTAAACTAAATAGAGTTCCCTATTGGTGGACACCATTCTTACCATCAGTGATTTATTTGCTATAGTCTTCAAAGAACCAAACTGAAGATTCCAAGGCCATAACTTCTCAGGAGATTTAGAGCCTCTCAAATTGATTACCGAATACTAAGCAAAAAGGAAATTAGAAACTAAATGGAACTATCAATATGGAATACTAATCCATACCAACTTGATGTGCAGGAAGTGGTTCTTCTCATTAATAACTAGTAACTGTCACTAATTAATGTTCACAGAAAAGAAATGAAGTACACTTTGAGGGGCTGAGCTTTCAAAGAAAACAGTGGCAGCTTCTAAAAAAGCTGCTAAAACAAACACAGTGGTTTAAAATGGATTTTTTTATAAATCAGACAAACTTGTACTGCCACATGACTTAGGTCTGTGACATACTTTTAGCAATCTTCACACTGTTACACACAATCCAAAGAACACCAATCACAGGATCAGCAATTTTTTGTCTGTTAAAGAAATGCTTTATTAATACAAAAACATGCACACACCAGCTAGAAACACTAAGAAATTTAAATATCGAAGTCATAGCAAACAGGTGGTAAATCCATATCCAGGGCTGACAGAATGCTGGAAGGAGACTGCAACACATCTAGGAAACAGGAATTTCTTATTAAATTTCTGCAAATCCTTAAGCCCTCATCCATGCCAACATAGCTACTGGTGGTCCCTCTTAGTCACACATTTATGACTTATAAATTCATGATACTGATGAATCCTGATCCCCACCTCTTACAATGTAACTGTGGCCACATAATTAACATTCACAAGAAGATAAAGCCCAAAGCACATGAAACTTTATTATTCTTTGGAGATCCAAGCAAGAGGCAACATCACTCAGGTCATTCCTAACAGAAGTTCTTCCATCAGAACCATGGGACAAAATATACAACTAATGGTTTTTGACCACAGACCAGACCCAAGACCTCACATCCTCTGTAGTAAGAAGATGCCTGGATCCTCAGTCAGCTTTGGATACAAACTTAGCACTTGGGATGAAAATTCCAAGTTGTTAGACTTAAATTTACAACCTAAGATTTAAGATTCCACAGGCTTCATCTCATCTCATTGGCCATATGTAACACTGGATGTCAAATTAACTTCATTTTACCCAGGCATTTAGATTAAAAAGCACCACCAACCGAGACTAGCTTTCATTATGCTGAAACCTTATGCCTCAAGTCTGAAGGGCAGTAACCACCTCCAGGTTAACCTTCCCTAAGCCCTGTCCCCATGGCCAGAGGCGGGCTATGACACCATCTGTGTGTAGGCCTTCTCAAAGCGTGCAGGCTCACTTACTAGACTCCCACGGTGGAGTGGGCCTCTTCAGTGGTGAAGGGGGGCCCATCTGCAGCAGCTTTTCAAGTTCCTGCTCCTCATCGAGGATCATGAGAGGCACTCCATTCAAAGGCAGGTGTGCAATCTGGTGCTCTTCGGGGAGGTCAAAACTCTCAAAATCTGCCACCGAGAGACAGTGTTTTTGTTAGGGCAGTGGGTGTCAGTGTGATTGTGTGACCCCTAGAGAGCCAGAGACCCTTCCAGTGAGGGTCTAGATGAGGTCGTATCTATTATTGCATTCATAATAATGCCTTCTCCATTGTGTTGACATTTGCAGTAAAGGTACAAAAGCGATGGGGACTGAAATTGCTCATGCCTTAGTGCCATGGCATAAACTCTAGTCACATTCCTTGCTACTGTTCACTGCAGTAAAAAATGTTAAGTGTCTGGGCCCTTCCTGGTGGCACCAGGGGTTGGAGCGCAGCACTGCAAGCTGGCCACAGCCGCTTCAATGCAAGTTCGATCCCCCGCCCCAGAGGTGACCACATGGCACATCAGACCGCTCCTGTCTTCCCGCTAACCCCCTCAGCAGTGTGTTTCAGTCTACCTGCCTGTTCTGCTCCCCACTCTGTCTCTGGTGAATCCTCTCACCATCCCTGCACCTCTGGCCTGTACCCCAGTTCTGTATGCATAAATAAAAAATCTTAAAGGAATGATTTTTTTTCAGTATTCTATGTGATCAAATAAGAAATATGCCATATAAAGCACTTTCACTGAACACTGCAGCATCACTGTGATCTCAAAAACAAAGGATATGTGCAAGTCTCTGATTCACAGGTTACGCCAGAAGCCTTTCTCCTGAAACACCATTTAGCTGGGAAACAAACCAGTTACTCAGACTTAGGTTATCTACTGTGTATGTGAAATGAGACAGATCAATCAACTGTAGGAAAGCAATGTCACTAATGATTAAAAGTCACAATTTCAAGAAGAATTTTAGAAACTATCAGCAATCATCAGCTTGACAGCTTCTGACTACTTAGTTTTTTCCAATGAGTGATGATATCAGTGTGTTAATTACTGCTTTTAAAGAAATAATTCAACATTTACATTTCTCAAAGCAATATTTCTGAATCACTCATGCATGATAAATGCAAGGATAAAAGATACACTCACTATATCACTATATCAATGGATTTTACTATCAGAATTTCAAATATTCATGGATTTTTTTTTTTTTGGACTTCACATTGCAATTAGACATGAGGGGAGATATAGTTAATCCAGTGAGCTATCGAAGAAAACTAACCCCTTACCTGAAAAGGCTATAAAAATGCTGCTTCTACCTTTCCTAGTTGACATATCTACATGCAGCCAGATTTTCTTCCTACACTTCACCAAAACCACAGATGATTGCATAAGATTAGAAACCAGCTATCATAAGCCAAATTAAGCAGATTTTCAAAAATATAAAACCATGCCAGTCTTCTTAGTCTAAATTTGTTTTGGATAAGTTATTTTATAGTTTAAAAATTAATTCACATAGGGCCCCTCCCTGGTGGCTCAGTAGGTTAGAGCGAAGCACTAAGAAGCTGAAGCCACTTCCGCATGAATTCGATCCCTGCCCTGTAGGTAGCCCACAGGGCACAGCAGACCTCTCCTGACCACCTGCTGCTCCCCTCAGTAGTGTACTTCATCAAGTCTGTCTGTTCTGCTCCCAACTCTGTCTCTGGTGAAGCCTCTCACCCCCTGCAGCTCTGCCCTGTACCCTAGTTCTGTATGCATAAATAAATCAATCTTTCAAAAAATGATGTAAAAAATTAATTCACATTAATGTAATGGGTGTGTTATGTGTAACCAATTGATTTTTTTTTTATTTCTCAAATTTCTAAAACAGGAAATATAAAATGAACACACAAAGTTCTATAGGGTCTCTGTTGGTTTAAAGAATACAAAAAAGTCCTCAAGCAAAAAATTTGAGAACCAGTCTACTAGAGAATATACCTTTTTAAACTCTAAGGACTTTATAACCTAGGGTTTATTTAAACAACTGACTTTTCTTAACAACAGCAAAAGTTATATTTAAATATTGTCTTTTCTCTTTCAAAGAGGCTAAGAGTTTTTTTCTAAAGATCAGAAAATATCCCTCTCCATCTTTGTTCTTAAATGTGAAAATTCTCTAAAGTCTAAGGAACGGGAATTAGTCTACTCTCTTCCAGACTAGTAAAACACACAAATCAAAAAAGGAATTGAGCATGAGACTACTTAAAACTACAGAATTGCAAAGGAAACTGTAAGCTGATGAAAGAATTCTTTCTCCACAAACATCTCTTTAAAAATCAGTAAGAAAGCCACAGAATTAAAAGGGAAACAAAGATACCAATAGGTTGTTAAAAAATATAAATGGCCAATAAACATGTGTCCACACACAGAAACACACTTTACAATAAGGGATACCAAGATACCCAAGGTCCTTTTAATGAAACGTGTAAGTTTTAAAACATTTGTGGTCAGAGAACCTGAGGAAACTAGCATCCTCATTCACTGTGAGTTCAGTTATTTATGCACCTACTTTGGAGCAATCTGACAGTCCCTCTCTCCTCAAATGCAGCATGCTCAATTTGCTAATACTCCCATTAGCATAGGTACCACACATTTAATCAACACTTAATCACATACCCTGTGAAACTCAGTCATCCTTAAAGTTGACTCTCCAGATAGCATTCTCAAAATTATATTGTGGTCAATTTGTGCATCCAAGTATGGAATGGTTTGTAATATATAAAAGCCACATAGAGTAGGATGACTAAATCTAGCTCCGAACGCTAAGGCTCTGCGGGACCTGCCCCCAGGTCTACAGCTATATAGTTCTTCTCTGCCTTACAATTTCCAAGTACCACTTTAGTACTTTTTCTACTTCAGGACTTTTGCACACTTTTGCTTCTGCTTGGCCAGTCCCTTGCTCCCCCTCCCCTACCAGACCCGCCCTCCTCCTTGCTCACATACCAGTGATGCACTGATCACTGATTTCTCCTCCAAGTCATGGCCTCTCTCAGGGAAGCGCCCATTTTGCTAATCTCTTACCTGAAGCTTCACAGTATCTGTCACAAGTGTGCTCTCCTCAAATGTGAATAAATTTAAGCTTGAAAAACTAGTTGTTTCATAGGAAACACTTCACATCTATGTTAAAAGGGGTATAGCATTGGCTTCTCATAGGCTATGCAGATGGTTCAGGCAAAACTAAACTTCACCAAGAGCCCACTTTCTAACAGGCTGGCAGGAAAACTGCCAGCTGTACTCTGGCTCAATGTTAGTGAACATGTCTAACCTCCCTGAAAAGGGAACAGGTCCTCACATCTTTGCGCCTGTTCCCTGCCTGATCTGAAATGATGGTCCACCAACATATTTAACCAGCAAATAAAGACAATAAGTCTGACAAATCCCACCATCAAATGTTTGTTCAAAGCAACCACATTCAGCATTGAAGTTTTGGGTTACATATTACACTCACATCCCTATCAAGTTGCCCTGAATTGAATTCCAAGAGAACTCAAAAGTATTTTTGCAAAAAAATAAATAAATAAATAAATAAAATATTTTTGCAATATCAAAAAAAATTACCTAGAGGATTATAAGGGAAGAATTTCTCTATTTCTGGGTAGGTGTCATCAGAGGCAGGAGCAGAGCTTTGTACTTTCACAGTCTTCTCAGCCATCTAAAACAATCCAAGAAAATATGAACTAGTGAGCAGGATGCCTTGTCAGTGGATCGTAGAGATCCCCAGGATACATAACTTCACCACATTTTCCAATTGACCAATTTGACACAGACGTCTAAGAAAACTTAATTCTTAGTTCTCATGATCACACACAAATATAATTCAGCAAACAATTCTAGTGACATGGCTCAAAAGTTCAAATTAAGACTAATTTAAGTATTAGCACCTGTCAGCATCAGTTGTCAAGAAAGCAGAGCAGAGTTAGTTAATTCAGAGCTAATTAACACAACCCCATGGGTTGAGAACATGGGCATCAATCAGGCTACGCAATCCTAGAAGTCATTTTTGGCTCTTGGAAAAGTGGTTTTCAATCAGTATGCCTTAATTACTTGCATGAGAAATAGTAAAAAACCATTTTTGGTTCTTAAAATACAGTAAGGAAAAGGCAGCAAGAGACAACCGAAGACCTTAGAAGTTCACCACAGACGATTCCTTAGTACAGAATGGGCAGGGAGGCATTTGAGGACAGTAGTTGGCCAGAAGAGAAGCCTGCATGTTCCTAATTTAGTCTAGATCACAGGCAGGGGCCTAAACTCACCTCAATGGCCAGGTCCCCACACTTCAGTTCTAGGTCATCATCCCATTTCTGTTTTTTTGTTTGTTTGTTTGTTTGTTTTTGGGCCACATCCTTGCACTATCTTTGTTGAACATTTTTCTCTAGGCCAGTTCAGTTTGAAATAGACTACACTGCCTCTAAGTCAGAAGTGGATGCCAAGTGCTAGTTTTTTCCTAACGAATATTAAACAATTATTCAAATGAAGTTCATCTGCGGGCTTGGGTCATCTTTCAGAGCACCACCGTACTGCCTGGGCTGCTATGCACACACAAAGGTCAACATGCTAGCAAACTTTTCACCTAACCAGTGGAGTTCCTGTGGGAATGGAGGAGGAAGGCAGCACCAAAGCTCTTAAAGTGCCTCCTGGAAAGTAGCCTCCCTCTTGATGGTCATGTGTTTTAAGTCACTTCTACCAACAATTTGATCAAAACACTAGGTAAGGGCAGATTAAGCAACACTATTGATGAGCTACTTTAGTTATTAATAATTTCTTAAATAATTTCATTAAGGGCCCTCCCTGGTGGTGCAACGGGTTAGAGCGAAGCACTGTAAGCCAGCTGCAGCTGCTTCAGTGTGAGTTCAATTCCCCAATCGTCAGGAGGTGATCCACATGGCACAGCAGACCTCTCCTGACTCATCTGCTGCTCTCTTCAGCAGTGTACTTCGTTAATCTGCTGGTTCTGCTCCCCACTCTGTTCCTGGTGAATCCTCTCACCGCCCCTGCACCTCTGACCTGTACCTCAGTTCTGTATGCATAAATAAATAAACCTTTAAAAAATAAACAATCGCATTAACATATTGAACAAGGTCCATGAACGTGGTGTCACTGTCCTCTGCTAATTCATGTTTACTATTTTCTTCTACTCACAGGATAAGAAAATAGGAGGATGCCTCTAGTCATCATCAAGAGTCAAAAACGCTGATGTATTTAAACTGTCCTTTTAGCCAACACTTGCCTTTTTGGAAGAGAAGGTGGTCTGTTTCTGTTTGAGGGGTCCATTCATCTTTGCTGGCTTTTCTGTGGCTCTGTTGACAGTTCCCAAAGCCTTTCTGATGGTTTTAGGTAAGGCTGCCGGAGCATCAAACATCTTGCCAACATGTGCTGCTGAAACCTGTTCTCTGCCATCTAAAACTTTGGCTGCTGAAGAAAGAAAGTCTCTTCATAAGCTTATTGGAGCAAGAAACACCTGGGCCACATGAAGGCTGGCCCCAAACTCAACTCACAGTTTTGCTAGTGGCATAGATACCTCAGAGAACTTCAGTTATTGATAATTTCTTAAATAATCTCATTAATATATTGAACAAACACTTTGCAATACCAAAGCATTAAACTTGATGGCAAGGACACAGAAATGCCTTCCCCCGCTCCCGGCCACGCCCCTATTAATTCCCCAAACCGGCATATTAATTCCCCAAACTGCAGTCCTTGACAGGCCCAATACAGGCATAACTGTTTGCAGCACTTACCAGGCCGAGATCCCAGCTTCAGTCCATCCTTAGAAGCCACGCGGGTGTCTAGGTCTCCATTTTCCTTATCAACAAAGATGAGAGTAGCCATTCTGGATTAGCTGAAGGGGAGGATGGGGTGTGAAACAGACATTAGAGACGAAAAGAAAGACGAGAAAAAACTACGGCGTAGCAGAAACCTAACTCCATCCCAAGCACGTCCACGCAAAAAAGAGCTAAGCGGAGGGAGGAGACCCGTCTGTGCCAACAGGCACTTAACCCAACTGTAACTCTAGAAGTCTGCGGAAAAGACTCTAAATTCCAGAAGAGTTTGGAGGCGTTAGAGGACCTGGAACTCAACGGGACAGAACCGCCGTGGGTCGCGGACGAGGTCCGAGGCCTCAGTTCTGCACCACAAATAACCCGGGGAAGGGCCAGGCCCAGTCAGCAGCCTGCCCCGAATCCCCCAAAAAACAGACCCACCCACTCCGACCCTGGATCCCAGACCCCAACCTCCTTCCTCGCCCGAAGCCGCTCGCCCACCCACCGCGACCTCTCGGTTCACCACTCAAGCACCAACAGCCGAACTCACGCAGGACGCCGGCAGCCCGAGGTCGCGCCGCACGCCGGGTTTAAAACACAACTCACGCTCCTATTGGTTCATCCTCTAGGGAGGCGGGTTAGGGGTGGGGCCAGGGCCCGAGAATAACCAATGGGAGGGAGCCAAGCTCCTCTGGCTCCACCCCAAAGCTTTTTTCTGGGAAGCTTGCAGTTTGTTTGGGGAGGCGGGGAACTGTCTTTCCTGAGACACTTGATTATGGCATCTAAGTGTTTTTTTTAACTCTCCCCGCAGAATTATCTATGCCAGAGAAGTGAATCTGGTCTCTAAACCCAAGAGCAAAATCATTATTGTGATTATTATATCATCATACAGAGTGGGGCCTCGCTGGTGGTGCAAGTGGTTAAATCTAAGCAGGGTGAATCTACCTGCAGCCACTGCCCAGCTGAGTTCTACTGGACCAGGGAACTGAACCACACACAAGGCACAGCAGACCTCTCCAGTCTGCCGCCCAGCTCCCCTCAGCTGAGTATTTCAGTCCAACTGTTCTGCTCACCACTCTGTCTCTGGTGAATACTGTCACCCCCTACACCTCTGGTTTACACCCCAACTCTTGTATGTATAAATAAATCTTTTTTTTAAAGAAAGACACGGGGTTTTTTGTTTGTTTTTCTAAGATACTCTGGTGATCAGGCTTTCTTAAGTGAAAATATTGTGAAATCCAAGAAGTCAAGACAAAGTGGTGAAAGAACTTTTTTCCTAATGTCTGCAACTAATCAGAGTAAGTAGAACAGATTAAATAAAAAAGAGGGGCCACAATGGAGGAAAGGAAATGGGGAAATTTTAAGGAAAATGGACAGATTATAGTTTTATTGCAATTAGAGCTATAAATACACATATAGTCAGGTGGGTAAAATAACTCATGCTACATCTAAAAGGCACTAGTGTTACAGGGCAGGGAGAGAGGGGAACCACTGAACCACCAAACCTGCTTGCTCTAAATAGGTTCTGCCATCCACCACATCAAGACAAGATATAAGAGCTTTAATTGAAAGGAACTTTAATACAATGAGTATACAACACAGAAGACAAAGAATGTAATTTCGAAATCATATACCTGAAGCTACCCATCCTTTTGTGGGTAAAAGTCCACCCAAAAGGGATTGGTCCAAAGTGATGTCATTTTTTGAGTTCGGGTTCCTTGGGTTTACTCTGGGAAAGGTTTCACCAGAGCTCCCCTTTCAGCGGCACACAGCAAGATTCTTCATGAGACAGAGACTTATTTATATTTAAAGAGTAAGTTCATTAGAAACAGACAGGAGAGGAAAAGACACTTGCATAAGTGCAAGTGGGCAGAAGCTGCCCTGAAAGGGACAGGTTTGCAAGGAGAGAAGCCGAGAGAGCAGCCTCTGCTGGGGGAGGTCAATGCAGAGAAGTCCCGGAATGGTCACGGAAGGCTGCTGCCCCGCAGAGGGACACAGTGGATGGGAAAGGCGCCTGCATAGGCACTAGTGGGCAGAGAAGCTGCTGCCCCTGCATTGGTGGAGAGACTGTCCAGCTATAGACAGCTTCTCTTTGAGAGGGGCTCACTCCTTGTGAGCCTAAGTTTGTTGACTTTGAATAGAATCTGAGAGGAGGGGAGATTCCCTAGTGAGCTTCATCTCCATCTCCATGTCCTTATCTTCACCTGGGTACCAGGCCTCGGGCTTTGGTGCCTGAGGACCTTGATTTTATGACTGTCAATTACTGCACTAGCCCCTTTTACCTATCCCCTTTGTGTGCTCAGTCTTGTGATGCCTCCCCTGCATTCCTTCCTCCAATATACTGTATGAGGCATTAAGAAAAGAGCCTTTACTGCCCCTTCTGCATACTTTTTAACTCCATCTAGCCCCTTATTTCTCACTATACCTCCTTCTAAACGCCTCTGTTCCCTCTTACATCATCAGCACAAATTGTTCACTTTTGAAACCAAATTTGTACAACACCTACAACTCCCAAGTGGGAATCCTCTACCTCCTAAAGTCTTTAACTCTTGCCCTGACAAAGGAAATTCAGTCTCACTACCTCATGTGGTGCTTTTTAAATGCTATAACCATCCAAACTTTGAGTATCCACTTATCAATGAGACCCAGACTCACTTTACTATTCCCAACTATAAAGGAAAATCCCAACTGCAAAACCGTCCTTGCCTCAGAACATCTAATCCCTTCCCTAACCCAGTTTATCCTACTCTGGCTTTAGGAACAGCACCTCACCGGGAAGTAACCCCAGCTTCCTTCCGTCCACAGACGCCTCCTGGAGGAACCCAAACCTAACAACGGTCTTTCCCTCTTGTCTAGTACATTCTGCTTCCTCTGGGACTTGTGCCTTCTGCTTGTGTCTGGTGATTTGAATTAAATCCACCTCACCATGTCCAAGCAAACTTCAGAAATTATTATATTCTAAGGCGATAAAAACAAAGTGTCGGCAATTCATAGATTCTATTCACTATCAGACTAGTCTGACAGTTTTTATTCCCTCATCCATCACTCCGTAAAAATCAGTGTTTATGTTCCTAAACTCTACGCACTGCAAGTTTCTAATAAGAAAAAAAAAAAACAACGAAGGTCTGTTATTGTGGGCTCTGTTGAGGCAAGGGTTTTATCTATCTTCATTCCTTACATTAGAAAAGAATGTCACTTTGAGACTTTTTAAAAAGCGAATAGAACATGGGAAGGGGGGAAAGGAAATCAGATATTCCTATCAAAGCTGCCGCTTCCCCACACCCCCAAATTTTGGTGTTATGTTATACCTTAACAGGATAATTGGCAAGTCATAAATACTACTACTTTTCCGAAGTAGATTTTGTCCTACCGTGTTTTTTTCAAATAATAGAATATAAGATCATTTCGGGCTGAGAAGTCCAAATAGCGTCTTATGTTCCCACAGCACCTGGTATTGTTATCACTTTTTACAGCTGACAGTTGAGTAATTATTTCGTTTTTCTCACTCTGTATGATGTAAATTCTAAAAGGAAACCGGTCTTGTTTCACTGTGTCCCCAGCACTTACACAGAACCAAGCTACAGATTAAAACTATCTTGATTGCTTTTTTATAACTTTACACGTCACGAACATCCCCGGTCACTTTATTGTGCTCCAGTAAAATTTAAGCTGTAGTCTGTTCTCAAACTGATTATTTTTTCTTTACGAAAATAACAAACGACATAATAAAAGAACTCAAGGAAGCAGAGCCAAAAGAAACTACTGACCTGGGTAGACATCAAATGAGAGCAAGTTGAGCTATCGCGAGACCAACGTCCTGACGATTCGCGAGACCCAGAAAGTAGTTACTGCGCATGTGTCGCCAATACGGCCCCTCCCGCAGTGACTACCGGGAGAGGGCAGAAGACCCGGAAGTAAACATTGTTCGTCTGGCTTAGTTTCTGTCCGGTGTTTGGGAGGTCAGCGGCGGTGAAGTTGGTGAGAAACTATTCTGAGGATTTAAACGGCTGGGTGGGAGTGAGTGAAGCTAGAGAATCTCAAAAAGTGAGCGGAGGATTGGAACCCTTTGATATATCCTCACCTGGTTGATGAACGCCACGTTGAGAAGGGACTGGTGATCGAGAAGGAACCCGCCGTCCTAGGCCTCAGATTTGGTGTTTGTGCCCAAACTAGGATTGGCCTTCCGTAGTTTTTAGATTTAGAAATCAAAAGTGTCATTGGAGGAGCCACACTGTCCGGTATAATAGCTAGTTGCTACTTGTGACTATTGAGCGCTTGAATTATTGCTAGTTGAATAAGGGTAAAATTTATATTCAGGTTTTTAATGAAGTTTATATATGGATTACTTATTGAAATGATAGTATGCTGGCTTTACTAGGTTAAATAATATAGTAAAAATAATGTGATCTATTTTTACTTTCTTCAGATCACTCCTGGAACACTAAAATGATTTATAGGGCTGGCATAGTTCCAGGGGGAGCGTGGAGGTGGGGGGAGACCGATCGTATTTGTGTTTTGAAGAAAAAACAGTGCAGTGCCAAAGATTAGAATCAGAAAGTCAGTAGGAAAAGACGATAACTTACACTAACATAATAGCTTTGAGAATAGAGGAGATGGATTTGAATGATATTCAGAAGGTGAAAGTAACACTTCTTAGTGACAAGATGTGGGAATGAAGGATGTGGTCTTTTATTAAAATGACTTTCATTAAAAGAGGAAGCAGTAGAAGGAGACATGGAGAGGACTATGTGTTTGAAATAAGATTTGTGGAGTTCAGTATTTCAGAAACCTCTAAGAGGAGAAGCTGTCAAGTTAGCAATTGGAATATAGGTATATGAAGCTGAGATCCAAAGTCTGGATTAGGGAAATATATTGTAGCTATTGAAATCTTGGAAACAGATGTACTTTTGTTAAGATGTACTTTTGATGGTTTTGCTGATGAACTCATGACGACTTCGGGTTTTTTTAAGATTTATTTATATTTTTATAATAGTTTATCTTTGCATCATTTTGTGCCTTTTTCCATCACAGTTGTAATCCCCATGAGTTTCCCATTAGCAAATCACCCGTGTGCCGTCACTATAGTCCAGTGCACTATCTCTGCCCCCATTTTTTATCCCATTCCCCACTCCACCCCTGTAAAATGTCTCTGGTTTATAGTTGTTCGTTATTATTATTATTTTTTTTTTCACGCTGGTCCTTTATGCTCCTGCTATGAGTGAAACCACCCGGTATTTTTCCTTTTCTTTCTGGCTTGTTTATTTCACTAATAAACATGACCCTTCCAGCTCCATCCATGTTGCTGCAAAAGGCATGTTTATCTTTCTTGTTTGCTGAGTTATATTCCATTGTGTATATGTAACACATCTTTTTAATCCAGTAATCTACTTTTGGGCATTTGGGTTGATTCCATGTCTTTCCTATTGTAAATAAAGCAGCAATCAACATGGGGGTACAGGTGTCTTTTTGAATCACTGTTTTTGTGTCTTTTGGATAGATACCTAGGAGTGGGATTGCTGGGCATAAGGAATTTATTTTTACCAATATGTATTACTTTTTCATAGAGTAGGAAGATATCTAACCATGGCAGCTGCTGCTGTAGATGCAGTTAATGCTGCTCCCCTGTCGGGGTCCAAAGAAATGAGTTTAGAGGAACCAAAGAAGATGACTAGAGAGGACTGGAGAAAGAAGAAGGAACTAGAAGAACAGCGAAAACTGGGCAATGCTCCTGCTGAAGTTGATGAAGAAGGAAAGTAAGTACTTTCATTTTTTTCTTGACCCATTCTTAAAATTCAAATTCACAGCTGCTTTGTTTATTCATTTCTCATTCTTTGTTTAGACTGGAAGCTGTCTTTACCATTTATATCATTGCTGTTTTCATTCTTTATCAAAGTCATGTGTAAAGTTTAGTAATAAATATTGAAGAACCTATATTGAATAGCAATCAGACATCTCCCACTCCCTGTCCCACTCTAGTTTGAATTTTTTTGGTTGATACATATCTATATGTCTTAACTTTTATACCTACACCATTATTTTAATCACCTCCACACAGTAGAAGCTAATGTTTTGCTCTTATAGCTTTATCTCACTAACATAAACATCCTTGTCTTCCTTCACCTCTCTTCTTCCTTGAGTTATATTATTATTCTTTCTTTGTTGCAAAATTTTTCACTTTATTATCAATTTGCTTTTTACTGTTTAAATACATCAAGCATGTCGTCTCTCCCACTGTGCTGTCTCTGTTCAATGTGGGCTATCTTTGTGATTATATTAGAATTACATTCAAACTTTATTCTTAATTTTTTTTTTTAATTTTACAGAGACATAAACCCTCATATTCCCCAGTATATTTCTTCAGTGCCGTGGTATATTGATCCATCAAAAAGACCTACTTTAAAGCACCAAAGACCACAACCAGAGAAACAAAAGCAGTATAGCTCCTCTGGAGAATGGTACAAGAGAGGTGTAAAAGAGGTATGTAAGCAGCCTGTAAGGAATTGAGACAGTCACTGTAGGTAGAAAGAGTAATTTTATGTTAAGAACTTGTTTCAAGAACCTTTAATAAGCTGGTATATAAAGAAAAGCATTATATAACCTTTCATCTGCTTCTAAAATGCAAATTTTAGTTTATTTTTTTTTTATTTTGCAGAAGTCATTAAACCATTTATAATGTGTAGAGACTGATTTTCCTCTGAATTAATAATTCAGTCCAATAGTAGAATATATGCCAATGAGAGCAAAGTCTGTTGCCTTTTTTTTTATTTTAAAGATTTCGTTTTTATTTATGCATACAAGAACTGGGATGTGGGCTAGAGATGTGGGGAGGGAGCGAGAGGATTCACCAGAGACAGCGTAGGGGGCAGAACAGGTGGATCTATTGAAATACACTGCTGGGGGAGCAGTGACTGAGACAGGAGAGGGCTGCTGTGCTGTGTAGGTTAACTCCCTGGCTGGGGCTTGAACTCTTGGCCATAGAAACTTTAACCGTGCACAATCAGGGAGTCCCTTTTTGTCTTTTTTTTTTTTAGAAGTATATTTATTTTTTAACCACACGTGTGTATCTTCCCATTGTCTCGTAATGTGTTAGTGTATTTAATACTACACTAAACAATAATAATAATGCTACCCTATAAGAAAACCCTGATACAGTTACCAAATTCAGGAAATTTAATATCGATTCCTTACTTTCATCTGTTGTCCACGTACAGCTTTATCATTTGTCCCGATACTTTTTTTTTTTTTAAGATTTATTTATTCATGCATACAGAACTAGGGTACAGGCCAGAGGTGCGGAGGGTGAGAGGATTCACCAGGGACAGAGTGGGGAGCAGAACAGGCAGATCAACGAAGTACACTGCTGAGGGGAGCAGTGGGTGGATCAGGAGAGGTCTGCTGCACCATGTGGGTCACCTCTGGGATGGGGATTGAACTCGTGCTAGAGTGGCTTTAGCTTCTTAGTGCTGCGCTTTAACTCACTGAGCCACCAGGGACGGCCCATGTCCCAATACTTTTACAGTCCTGAGAAGCTAGTCTAGGTTCATATCATCCATATAGTTGTTGTGTCTTTTTTATTTCCTTCCATTTAGAACAGCATTGGAACTACCTGTTCTGTAAAGACTGGTGGAGTCCACCTGTGAAACTCAACCACTGACTGCATTCTCTGTGGGACAGCCCTTTGATGAATTTCTTTGTGGAAATTACCCAAAGTCTCATTATTTTACTTGGTTGGGTTAGCTAGTGTTTGTCTCTTTTGTTAATATTGCCTAAGCAGGACTTCATTTATTTAATGTACTTTTATTTAGAGTCCTTTTATTGTCTTCCTTATACCTGCTAGTAAATCTTTTGTTCTTTTCCTGGCTTCTGGAAGTTATTTCTAACTTATTTAGATACATAAAACATTTTCTTTATTTTTACTTATGTCCATTTCTAGAATTCCATAACTACTAAATACCGCAAAGGAGCATGTGAAAATTGCGGTGCCATGACACACAAAAAGAAAGACTGCTTTGAGGTAACTCCTGCTTTGAAAATTTTAAAAACTGTTGTCAGAGACCTTATCAGAGAGTTTAATCTCTTTTACTAAAACTTGCTAAATTTTGGTACCAGTTAAATAAAAATTAATTTGAGTGAAATTAGTGTAGCCCATCAAAATGTTTTCCTGAGTGACTTCATTTTCAGTAGACTTAACAGTCCCACATTATGTTCATGATCACTCTTTAAAGGTTCTAGGAAAATGTCCTCTGGGATACAAGTACTTAGGAAAGATTTAATCTTATTCTATTTTTCAGAGACCTAGACGAGTGGGAGCAAAATTTACAGGTACTAATATAGCTCCAGATGAACATGTCCAGCCTCAACTGATGTTTGACTATGATGGGAAGAGGGATCGGTGGAATGGCTACAATCCAGAAGAACACATGAAAATTGTAGAAGAGTATGCCAAAGTGGATCTGGTCAGCAAAAATCTCCTGCTTTCCCCTACTATCCTTAAAGAATGTACAGTTGAGAAGTTGAGAGTCTTTGAGTAATATAAAATTGTTGGCTTTTTTTTGTAATTATCATGGTAGTAAGGCTAATGGGATAGTGTGCTATCCCTGCTTGGTAGCATTTTCTTCTTACTTGATTCTTATATTGCCCTTTGCTCCCTGACTTAGGTTGCAAAAGACACTGAAGGCATGAGAAGGGAATAGTATTCATAATTTTTAGCTTTTTGAGGATTTGAACTCAACCCTCAATTGTGTCTTGTTCATGGGCCTATTTTATACTCACCTCACATAGTATTTGAGGAGTGGTAGAAAGAAAATAGGATAACTTGTTTCAGAAAATTGCATTTTATTTCTACCTCACCTGTTCATCTCTATTCCTTAAGAACTCTAATCACATTGTCTTTTTAAGGCAGCATTTAAAAATCATGGTTTTTCATGTAAAAACCTGAATTTCATCTTTTCTTGAGCAATGAAATATATTAATCCTGGGTTTGTGGGGCAAGAATCAGTCATCGGAGCCCATTCCACTTTTGGGTGAAGGCTTGTGCTGCATTTCACCACTGGTGCTTTCTGGCTCTCAAGCAATTAGAAATCACAAAGATAGGACTTTTGTCCATTGACCTTTCTCTGAAAACTATAAACCAACTCATTTTAAATATATAAAAATTAAATGTTCACTTGAGTGTTAAATGTAAATTTCAAATGTTTCTTTTTTATTAGGCAAAGCGAACACTGAAGGCCCAGAAACTCCAAGAAGAATTAGCCTCAGGAAAATTAGTGGAACAAGCTGTAAGTAATAAAAATGATCACACACACACAAAAAAACTAATATTAAAAAACCCAACATACACAAATAGTTTCATTGCAGCACTCTTTACACTAGCAAAAAATTTAAATAGCATAAATGTCCAGGAATAGTAAGCTATCCTGTGTGATGATAGGTGGAGTAAGCTATTCTGTGTAATGATAGAAGATCGCATAGCTCTTAAAGTGATTTTAATAAAGACATTCTCACCAAACTGGATAATACTTAAAAATTTTTTCATGTCATTACAGTATAATCTGATGACATAGGGAGACCCCAGCACCAGTTCTCATTTAATATAAATTAATGAATTTTTCTTTTCATGCTACATTTTTAGTATTTCCTACTTTTCCATTATAAATATGTAGTTATTTTATAACTGGCAAAAAATATATATACTTAAAAAGATGTATGGCAGCCAGTTTTCATTTTTTTAAGTCATGTCAACTTAATAATAAAAGTATGTTATGCTTATTAGAATTATGAAATTACTGTTATTAATTTGCCTTTTTGACAAATTCATGTCACAAATCATAAACATTTGGAGTTTTCTAGCTTAAATTCCTGAAGAGTCACCCTTAGCAACCATGAATGACACGGCAAACACAACAGTATACATAGGGGAATAGATTTTGCCCATTTGAATATTAAGATTACCTATAATAGAGCAGTCTCCACTCTGGAGATGTCACTATCTAGATAGTAATATAAATGTCCTTTGTTACACTGGGAAATTTCAAGAAAATTACTTTTTAAAAAACATTTCTGGTTTTCAGAGCAACAATCAGCAAAAAATACAATTAGAAAATTATTAAGAAGATAATATCTCCTGATTTAAGGTTGAATATGTGAAAGTAGGCCTTTCTGGGTCCTCCCTCCCTCCACCCATATATTTTTATATAATTATAATGCATGTCTTTTAAATGGATTCATCTTTACATGTTCATTTATCACCTGAGTTTTCAGTTTCAATATAAAGTACAATGAGGACTTGTTTTCTGTGTCATTGAATGTAGGCCTATTTGTATAAATTCACATGATTCAAAAATCAAAACAATTTAAGAAAGGTATGCAGACGAGAAGTTCTCCCACCTTTCTCTCCATTCACCCTATCTCTTACCTGCCATGAAACCTATTGTTTTTCTTGTGAATCCTTTTAGATTCTTGTGAAATACAAACATACAAATGTATAATTCCCACCTTTTCCTTCTCTTTAACAAAGAAGTAGCAAATAATACTTTTCTGCATCTTAGTATCATTTTGGGTGGTTGTTTGGTGTTGCTGAGTATAGTGATTTGTACAGTCTGTTATTACTTTAATTTTTCCTAATTTTTGGATATATGAAGATTGCACAAATGTTTGCTGTTATTGTCAACATAGATATTTTCTCAGACACGTTCCCATATCCCCTCATTAATGCTATCCTTTTTAACCTTTGAAATCTTTTTAAAGGGACATGATGAAGTCCTGACCCCTTTGCTCTAGGTGTTTGTAAAGATTATCCTGACAATGTTTTATGAAGAAAGAAAGACTTCATGACAGGGATTTCAGTCTTTCAGCACAGTGGGGTGTCACCTGTATAGATTTCTTCACTGGCCAAATGTTACAAAGGCTGTTTTAGATTTAAGTATACTTCTTATACGATCCTGGTAACATTTTCTTTTTGGACTTCATAAAGCGCTAGTTAGGTGTATTGAAAATGGAAGGCCTAAAGAAGAACATGCATAAATGCATTTTTATTGGGTGCATTAGTCAACGTAATCTTCTTCCTTTTGTGAGAGTATAATTCACTATGAAGGAAAACTCTAGACATTTCCTAACTTTGTAGACAGCCTAATTAACTATTTACAATGACATGCTTGAACTCAGTGTTTAAATGTTTGTTACAAGTGAGAAATGTGGTTTTGTTCAGTTAGATTTAAGTTTTATTATCTTGACATGTTTTTAAAGTGGGAAGTAATGAGTTGACTCCATGGGATAAAATTATAAGTTCTTTGCCTTTTTTCATAATGTAGAATTCTCCAAAACACCAGTGGGGAGAAGAGGAACCAAATTCTCAAGCGGTAATAATATTTGCCCTATTTTTCTATTTCTGGTAGCCAATAAGTATTATCAATAGCATAATTAACAATAATGCTAACAGTAATAACTTTAAAGAATACAGATAAGTAAGGGTTAGTTAAAGGAATGGGCAACAAGAAGTAGAAGTTGCTTGTTCTTTTTTTTCTTATAATTTTTCCCCCTTTTTGATTTGCTTTCAGGAAAAAGATCATAATAGTGAAGATGAGGATGAAGATAAATATGCAGATGATATTGACATGCCTGGCCAGAACTTTGACTCTAAGAGACGAATTACTGTCCGGAATCTCAGAATTCGAGAAGACATTGCAAAAGTAAGTCTTGCCAATTTAATATACATAGTTGAAAAATATTTTTCTTCCCACCCCAAATTTTGTCTACTCCTCTGGTATCTGGGCAGGACATAGTGGATAATGTAGTCAGGCTTTCAGCCATACAGTATGATTCTGTTTTTTACTCTTCATTTGTACCCCATATATGTTCCCATACAAAGAATAGGTCATGCTAGTCTACTGAAATCTTTTTTAATGGAAGTAAACATTCATGCCATCTTAAAACGTTTTTCCCTTCTAGTATTTGCGGAACTTAGATCCAAATTCTGCTTATTATGATCCCAAAACAAGAGCGATGAGAGAGAATCCCTATGCCAATGCAGGAAAGAATCCAGATGAGTAAGTATCAAGTTACAGATTTCATGGTTGTGGAGAGGAACTTCTATTCATAAAATGAATGTGAACTAAAATGAACATCTGTTACTGGATCAGAAAAGAATAAACTTAAATCGATCTCTGAAACAATTTTTTTTTTTTATTTGTTTAGAGTGAGCTATGCAGGAGATAACTTTGTTCGGTACACTGGTGATACCATCTCAATGGCTCAGACACAGTGTAAGTGTTTGCCCTTGTCACACATTGCATGTCAGCTTACGAGAAATTTGGGGACATTTTTTTAAAGCTTATTTTTAAGACGCATACACTAAACATAGCTAAAAACTCATTAAATGTTTTTAATTACTCTAGTGTTTGCTTGGGAAGCCTATGACAAGGGATCTGAAGTGCATCTGCAGGCGGATCCCACAAAATTAGAGCTGTTGTATAAGTCCTTCAAAGTCAAAAAAGAAGACTTCAAAGAACAGCAGAAGGAGAGCATCCTAGAAAAGGTAATTTGGCCAGGATGCTAAGGAAAATCATTCCTTAAAGAGAAGTTTACCAGTTAATAAGCATTCATTTTACATTTGAAATGCAGTACACAGAGTCCTTATTAACCCATCAAGAGCGGTCCTTTCCTGCCATTGACTTATTCATTTGGAATACAATTTCAGTTTCAATTAGCTTTGAGCAACAAACCACCACAAAACTTAGTTGCTTGTAGTAAGCATGTTATTGGGGCATCATAAAAGTCATGATGTATTTTTTTCTGTTTTTCTTACAAAAACATGTCATACTTTGCTGACAACCCAGTATTTTTTAGAATTTTGCTTGTCAGCGGGGTCCCCAGATCTGAGTCTGTCCTCCCAGTCTGGCTGATGGAGGATGGCTTTGTTCTGCTCTCCGGCAGGTAGCAGCCCTCTGTGCTGAAAGGGACCACTTGAAACATCTCATCTCTCCCCTTGGGCTTTCTTCCCCTGGTACAAGTACAGCTTCATTGCTGGCATTTTCAGGAGGCCAGAGGCTAGCAACCAAAGTCTGCCCATGTGCACAGTTGCGTTTTAGGCTTTCACTTGCATTTTATCTGTCAGTTTCATATAAATTGGAACAAACAATATGGTCATACTTAGATTCAAGGGATGGAGAAACAGGCCATCTCCTGAGGGGAGAAGCATATAAGAATAAGAGGAATTTGTGGCTATTTTATAGTCTATCACACTCTACAGTTGAATAGCAACTGAGATATCTTTTTTTGCTTATAGATTTTAAAGATTTGGTGGCCCCTTTTTCACTAGTAGATTGTGTAACAAAGCCCATTAAAAATACTTTAATTTTTCTGATTGTACGTTAATTCTTTGGTAGAGATTTGAATGCAAATCCTTGTAAAATACATTTAATGAGGTTCAATGTCCTTTCAGTATGGTGGTCAAGAACACCTGGATGCCCCTCCTGCTGAATTGCTTTTAGCTCAGACAGAAGACTATGTGGAGTACTCACGACATGGGACAGTCATCAAAGGGCAGGAGCGGGCTGTCGCGTGCTCCAAGTACGAGGAGGACGTAAAGATCCACAACCATACGGTCAGTTGAGCCATTTGGTGTCCTTGTTGGCATTTTGCTTTAGTCTGTACTTTATTATTGCTTCACTAGCAAACTTTTTTTTTAATGTTGTTTTATATATTTTTCCAAAATAGAAGAAAATGTGAAAGAATACTACTATGTCCACCCATCCACCCAGCCATCTAGATTCAAATTTTTTTCACATTATTATATGCACTTATCAAGGCTTGTGTGCACATACACATGCTGATAAGTGTGCGTGTGTTTTAGGTGTATCTATTTTTTGTTTGAAACATTGGAAATAACAGATATTTCAGCCATTCTATGTCATGTATCTCCCAAAATCAAGGATATTCTTTTACATATCTGTGTTACCATCACTCAATGCAAAAATAAAAAAGAAATTGACATTGACACCTAAATATCACTTAATCTGTAGTGTTTCATCACATTTTCCAAAATATACCCCAAACTTTAAATTGGAATGTTTGGTTTTGAGTCACATCCATTGAAGTTTATTTTGCGGGTGACTAGTTGCATGTGTTTTTTCACCAGCATATTCTGCCCTTTTATGACAATGACTCTCAAGCTCAGGACCAGTTGTCTTATACATGGTCTCTTTCTGAATTTGACTGGTTCATAATGATGGCATATAATTTATCCTCTATCTCCTGTACTTCCTGTAAACAGGAATTTGGATCTAAAGGCTTGATTGGGTGTAAGTCAGCTACTTTGACAAGAACACTTCATGGGGGTTGCTAGTGTACTTCATTTGCAGCACCTTGTAAAACATACAGTGTCACTGCACACTCCAGAAGTTCCCAGGTCACAGTTGTCTGGAAGTGTGAAGTGAGCCAGGCCAGTCGCACATACTAGTGGACACAACCCTTGTTTGGTAGGGGCATCCACTGCTCAGCAATAACCAGCCCTCGCAAGTGGAATGTAGTCCCAGCTTTTCCCAGACCTTGCTTTTCAAGAGAAGCCAGATGTCTTTTTTTAAAAGCAGTGTTAAGATTTGGGGAATAAAATACAGACTATTGTAACTGTAATGCCTGCTTCTCGCTCTTGAAATCAGGTCATCTTCCCCTGTTAACCAGCCTTGGAATCGTCCCAAATTGCTTTTAAAATTACTATTTTATATACTTTTACAGTATATAAAATACAGTATATGAATTACCCTGGTTTATGATCCCTTTTTAAGTAACATCTCTCTCTTTGTCTAGCATATCTGGGGATCTTACTGGAAAGAAGGCCGATGGGGATACAAATGCTGTCACTCTTTTTTCAAATATTCCTATTGCACTGGAGAAGCTGGGAAGGAGATTTCTGTAAGTAATTGTCATCTAATTCTTACAGATCTACAACAGTCAGTGTTCTTAAGTCAAAATCTGTGTGTTTCAGATATTCTCAGGTTTCAAATTTTAGCTTTTCCTTAGATAACACAAATCATATTATTCCTTCCTCCACCCCCCCTACAGAATACAGAGGAATGTCTTATAAATGAAGTAACTGGAGAAGAATCTGTGAAAAAACCTCAAACCCTAATGGAGGTAAGTATGTAGTCATTTGCTGAAATTTTTAAGTCCTGAGGGAGGGTTTTAAAACTTGCACTAGAGCTTTGTTTTCACAGTAACAGTAAATGTCAATCCTCCTCCTTAGATACATCAAGAAAAGTTAAAAGAAGAGAAAAAGAAGAAAAAGAAGAAGAAGAAGAAGCATCGTAAGAGCAGTTCAGATAGTGACGATGAAGAAAAGAAACAAGAAAAATTGAAAAAGGTACTATGTGGCATCTAATAAAAAGAACAACAGTATTCTTTATCTGAAGGGACCTTAGGAAATGATCTAGTTTTGTTTCCAAGTGTGTACTATAAGAATGAAGAAAATGAGCCCAGTATCTGAGTGATTTACTCCAGTGACCCTGTACAAGGTCTAGGATGTGAATGGAGATTTTTCAACTGTCTCTGTATTGCTGCTTATTAACTATGAATGCACAGAAAGAATGTATTTGGTAAAGCTGCTATTTTAGAGCTACTGACATGTGACCCAGAAAGAATACTCTTCTAGCTCTATAACTTGTAAGTTTTAGCTAGTCCTTTGGAAAAGTCACAGCTGTGGTCTAATAGAAACATCAGTTGTGCACTTCTGTCAGGAAAATGAAGATTATTTTTTAAAAATTTATTACTTAAAATTTTCTAACTAAAAATGTGATATGAACCAAATAGTGACTAGTTGTACTTAAAAGTGGAAGAGCAACTGCCAAGCTCTTTCAGGAAATGTAGGTTTTTGGTGTAGCATTTATGTGCAGGGCAGCCACTTGTATTCAGTAGAGATCTGCTGTCAGGCTGTGGCACTCACGTCTCCTCCTCACTGCAGGCCCTGAACGCAGAAGAGGCCCGCCTTCTTCATGTCAAGGAGATTATGCAGATTGATGAGAGGAAGCGGCCTTATAACAGCATATATGAAACACGGGAACCTACTGAAGAGGAGATGGAGGCCTATAGAATGAAACGTCAAAGGCCTGATGATCCCATGGCCTCCTTCCTTGGACAGTAGTGGCTATTCTAGATGGTCACCCAGGCAGACACAGCCAACAGACTCTTCAGCTTCTTTCTTTTGAAGACTGTCATCAGAAAAATCCTTATCTATACTTCATGCTACCTGACTTTAATAAAGCTTCCAGAAGTCTCATGGTAAATTTATTCCTCAACACTTGAAGAAACAAGGAAAACAAAGAGGAGGAGATATATTAAGTTCAGGTTAAGAATTCCTTTCCAATTTTCCATTAGTGTTATGCAATGATGGTTGGGCTCTATATCTGCCAAGAATATCTTCTCTATTTTTAAGTCTTAAATTTCATTTCCTCTATTTTTATGGTCCTTTGTCTAGGTTTGCCACATGTTTGAAGGCTGATTACTCTTTCTCAAACCAAGAATTTTTTTTTTTTACTAGTCACTATAAGTGTAGCTATTTGATAATCATCTGTTTCTATTCTCTAAGGATTTCCTGACCTAAAGGTAGAAAAATATTCTGCGTTGGGCTTTGGGTTACTAAAAAGAAAATTAAGAACATATGTGACTAGCTTTATCCTGCATGTCCACCTATGTATCAATAATTTTGGTTTTCCCTTGGTTATAAAATTTTGGTTTTATTTTTTTTCCTTGTACCTTACAGCCAGAGTTGTATTAGCCTTTGAATGGAAAAATATCCTGTCATCCTGGAGTCCGTGTTGACATATTAGTGCGAGATCTTTGTACGTGAGCCTTTAAACACAGAAAACCTTTTATGATAGAGAGTATCATTGTAATACTATTTGTTATTATTGATTGAGTTTACTTAACAATCATGAATTTTAAATCTTGGAATGCCCATTCTACCTAATCTTTCAAGACTGTGTTTATAAAATTCACAAAAAGCGAAACCTGATGTTGAAAGTTTCTTCAAAGAATTGTAACACTAGGTAGTAGGGCTGTTAGTAACTGAGGTTGTCATGATTCTCAGACCTCTCTACTAGGAACTTTGTTAAGATAATACTAACAGCAAGAGTGGTGGAGTTCGTGCATTAGTGAAGCCTGCAGTGAGTACAGTGAACAGCACTCTGACCTTAACTGAGCTGGGAAGAGTCACCAGCATACTGCAGTAAATTAGCACCTCAGAGATGGTGCTGATTAGGAGTAACTGGGTTAAGCTCTCAAGTACTAGGGATATTCAAGCATCTAGTCAGTCTGCTGTAAAACAGAAACAGCAATGTAAATAGATCTAATTCTTAGCCACTTTAAGAATGTGAAAATTTTGTTTCCAAATTCTTGAGAGAGGATAATTCAACAAAGTCTTCCATTGGTGTCTGTTTTTTATTTTATTTATCTTTTGTTAATAAAGATATAATGGAGACTATTTACCAATGAGTTTTTGTAACATTACAAATTGTTTTGAAGGGCTGGCAAGAAGGAAACCCTAGGTTAGCTTATGAGTTTGACTTAGGGAATTTCAAGATTCTTTAACTCAAAAAAGATGTGTCACCTAACTCTTGGGGCCTCAGTTCCCTCTTCCATGGAATATAACACCTGAAAGTTTGCCCTAATCCAGTTTCACTTTGGAGAAAAGGTAATGAATGCCTAGAGCACTATTCAAAATAGGAGTTTTGTTTTCATCGCAATGTGTAGCAGTCTTTACGAGATGAAACTATGCAATAGTTTTCCTGTTAACTACTCCAAAGAGGCCTTTTCAAGTAAGCAAATGGGTATATATGGAAGCTGTCCCAGTTTTAACACTTGGTCTTGATTCTTTGATATAAACTCACTCACTTTTGCTTGCCTCAGTTGATTTAGGTTAACACAACTGAGTGCCTGAAAGTTTTATTTGGAAATATAATGAGCTTCCTTCTCCTCATCCATTCCACATGGTAAGTGGTCACTATGGAGACTTGATCTTGAAGTTGAAGGCCCAGCGCAATATAAACTTTTATTTCCAATGGTCTGAAAAGTTAAAAAGTAGAACTGTGCGCACTTTATAGTATCTTCCATGCCTGAGATTCCATGATTCTGGCAGACACGATAGAACTCAGGCTCCACGGACATCTCTCACCCCAGAGCCCACACGTGGGAAAGCCAGCGCGCACGCGCCATCCTCTAGCCGCCCGGGCCGGCGGTGTGCTATTGCGGCTGCGTAGCCAAGCGCCTGGCCTCCACTCCTGGCGGGAAGCCGCCCGAAGAACCCGGATGGAAGCCCGACGCTGCCAGGGCGGAGGGGTGGGAGGCCGCCCGGAGACCCGGATGGAAACCTGGTGCGGATGGGGTGGAGGGCGCGGCGGGCGATCGCGTCTCTCTGCTCGGGGTTCCGACCCGAAGCACCCACGCCCCAAACTGGGCAGCAGGCTGAGCGGAGTGCAGAACTGGCCGTGACCTGCTCTGCCCCGGACCTAGCGGAGCCCCAGCCGCCCGCACCCGCTTACGCTCGGGCCACCGCACTGCGCGTGCGCCCTGCGCTGCCGCCCGAAGGTAGGTACAGGGCATCCCGCCGCCGCTGGCGGGGCCGGAGGGGTTCCCTGGGAGTGACCTAGCCGCGGTCGCCAGCAGCTCCTCGGCGCCCTAGGCCACGCGACCCCGCCCCCTCCGCCCGGCTCGGCTTCCCGCTGTGCCAGGATTGTGGGTCCTCCTCCTCCTCGACCCGCCCCTGTCGCGGGCGGCGCTGGTGAAGAAACCTGGAGTCAAGGCAGGTGCAGGTTATAGCTGCTCTCTGCTGATGTCTCAGCTGAATGGTTTTCGCATTCCGCACAAACTATGGTTCCGTGAATGGCCACTTTTAACTGCTTTTACTTTTTTATTGGTGACACTTTTCCATATCTGCTCTTCTGCTTCATCCATTTGCATAGGCATCCCAGTCTCTTGAGGTAGAGCTTTCATTTTGCATCTAATGTTAGCGCTTCAAAAACGCAAGTCATTCTGAAAACAAAGCAGATCTATTAAAGTCATGCTTTGTGTTTATTTTACTGTTTATGATGGCACATTGCAGCATACATAAAAATAATGAGAATGGTGTTCTGCCTGTGTACCCATCTTCATCCATCTGCAAAGCAACCAGCTTAACACCCACCTTAGTACCTTACTTCCTATCTCCATCCAGTTCTGCCTGTGTCTGTGTGTGTGCATGTGTGTACACGTACATGTGTGCAGAACACAGGACTGCAAAGGAAATCTCTGACATCACTTAACTTGAAAATAATTACGCTGTATCTCCTATAGATGAAAACTAAAAAAAGCACAGTGACAGTACCATCGTCACACCCATTTAAACGAACACTGATTTCTTAATATTGATAATGCTTCTTTAACACTTACATATCTTATTTAGGATATTGTGATTGCTAAGTACCACAAAGGAGCAAGTGAAAGCTGTGAGGTTCTCAAACACAAGAAAGCCTCTTTGGTGGTAAGTTCATCTTTCAAGATCTTAGAAAATTTTTGCTACCTAGTTCCTCAAAATACACATAACAGAAAGATGAGCATTTTTTTATACTGATACCATAATTTATTTTGCAGTTTGCAGAGGTTCTAAACACTGCTGGCACTTGACAAAAGGCTTAAGCTCAACTCTTTCACCTTCAGGTCCCTTCCTCTCGTCATACATCTTCAGCCTTAAACAGACTCCTGTTGCAGGTCAACTTACTAGTTTCACTGAAGTACCGGACCTGTTTGAAATTCTTGCCCTAAGTTCAAATCAAAGCCACTCAAAGATCCATTCGTTTCATATCTGTTTATCCCCTAACTATGTAAAAGCACCAGCCAAGGTGTCAAGATCTGTCCTCCCATAGAGTAGCTAGTGTCACTGGTGTTTCATGACAGGTGTGTGTACATCCCTGCTGTAGATTGGAAGCAGGGGGTGGCAGTGAGATTCCCTTTCTGAAGATATAAAATGCACCAGGTTTATTTGGAACATACATCATTGAAAACAAATCGAACCATAAACATGGACTTAGGGGGTATTCACAACTTGCATAAGCCCAGATCTCCCTTCACAACTTGCTCATCAGTCACTTACTCTAGGACGTTCACTTTGAGTTGCCAGCTTTCAGTTGGGTGGACATTGTTTGCTCTGACAAACAGCTCGTGGCAGACTGTTTCTTAGTGTGTACATATGTGACAGGATGGCATGTGATGTGGCTTGACTTTAGCTAACCACTAATTTCTAATGCATGGATAATATTTTACTCCCAAAGCACAATTCTGCAGCATCATTGGAATACTACCTGAGCGTTTCTTTGTGCCATGTCGAAGAAGCGTAAATGGGACGATGACTATGTACGGTACTGGTTCACCTGTACGACAGAAGTCGATGGAACTCAGCGTCCGCAGTGTGTGTTGTGTAACTCCGTGTTTGCAAATGCTGATCTCAGACCATCAAAACTGTCAGACCATTTCAACAGACAGCATGGTGGTGTGGGTGGGCATGACCTCAACAGCCTGAAGCATATGCCAACCCCATCTGACCAAAGTGAAACCTTGAAAGCATTTGGAGTTGCCTCTCACGAGGATGCCTTATTACAGGCATCATATCAGTTTGCTTATTTATGTGCCAAAGAGAAGAATCCTCACACGATAGCTGAAAAATTAGTGAAACCATGTGCGTTGGAAATAGCACAGATAGTTTTGGGACCAGATGCACAAAAGAAGCTTCAGCAGGTGCCCTTATCAGATGATGTGATCCACTCCAGAATTGATGAAATGAGCCAGGATATCTTACAGCAAGTTCTAGAAGATATCAAAGCCAGCCCTCTCAAAGTGGGTATTCAGCTTGCTGAGACCACAGACATGGACGACTGCAGCCAGCTAATGGCCTTTGTGCGGTACATAAGAGAGAGAGAGATCATAGAAGAATTCCTATTCTGTGAACCTTTGCCATTAACAGTGAAAGGAATCGATGTGTTCCACCTCTTCAGAGATTTCTTTGTGAAACACAAGATAGCACTTGACGTCTGTGGCTCTGTGTGCACTGATGGGGCCTCATCCTTGCTAGGAGAAAATTCAGAGTTTGTTGCTCATGTGAAAAAAGAGGTTCCTCACATTGTGATTACACATTGTTTATTGAACCCTCATGAACTGGTCACAAAGACATTGCCTACAAAATTGAGGGATGCCCTGTTCACTGTGGTGAGGGTGGTCAATTTCATCAAAGGGCGGGCGCCCAATCATCGCCTGTTTCAGGCCTTTTTTGAAGAAATTGGAATCGAGTATAGTGTTCTCCTTTTCCACACGGAGAGGAGGTGGCTTTCCCGGGGCCAAATACTGACTCATATTTTTGAAATGTATGAAGAAATAAATCAATTTCTTCACCACCAAAGCAGCAATTTGGTTGATAGCTTTGAAAATAAAGAGTTTAAACTTCACCTAGCGTACCTTGCGGATTTGTTCAAACACCTCAATGAACTCAGTGCATCTATGCAAAGAACTGGCATGAACACAGTATCAGCCAGAGAGAAGCTGTCCGCTTTTGTTAGGAAGTTTTCATTCTGGCTAAAACGAATCGAGAAGAAAAACTTTACCAACTTTCCTTTTCTTGAAGAAATCATCGTCTCGGATCACGAGGCAGTCTGCATTGCCACGGAAATAACCCTGCATCTGCAGCAGCTGAGCAGCTTCTTCCATGGATATTTTTCCGTGGGAGAGCTGGATGAGGCAAGTAAATGGATACTGGATCCATTCCTGTTTAATCTGGATTTTGTTGATGATGGTTATTTCATGAAAACTGATCTCACTGAATTGCGAGCCAGTGGCCAAATCCTAATGGAATTTGAGACAATGAAGCTGGAGGATTTCTGGTGTGCTCAGTTTATGGTGTCTCCAAGCCTGGCAAAGACAGCTCTGGAAATCCTCATGCCATTTGCAACCACTTACCTTTGTGAATTGGGATTTTCATCCCTTTTACATTTTAAAACAAAATCTAGAAGCGGCTTTAATATGAGCGATGACATCCGTGTGGCTATTTCAAAAAAAGTTCCTCGTTTCTCAGATATCATTGAACAAAAGCTACAGCTACAGCAGAAGTCTCTGTGAGCTGATAGACTTTCTTAGTGTTTAATGGTTAATACATTGTTAATCCCATTGTGAAACGAAACTATCGTTTTGTCTCTTCTCTTTCCTATTTATGGTATGTTGAATCCTGTGTTGTAAAAATATAGCAGGTTAGCTTTTAATGTGGCATGCAAAGATATGTCTTGAGATATGTACAGATATAATAAGAAAGGTGAAGTACCCCAGTCTACTTGACACATAGGGTTTTTCTCATCCTAGGTATCTTTTAACCTGTCGGTACAATATGTAAAAGACACACCAGCACTAGAATGTGCAGGTTAATGGTGCAGTGGGCTAGGAATGGAGCCACAGAAAGGGCACCCAGAGGATGTAGATACTTTAAGAGTCAACACAAGGACAGACCCATCCTCCATTTCCCAGAAGCTGTTACGGAGTGATTAATGGAATCACAAGAGAACATGAAATGTTATGGTGGGAGAAGGGATGGCTCTATTGTATATAAGCCTTATTTTTAGGTGTATTCGTTGAAGTTTGTCTCACAATGTCCCTTCTTCCAGCTCCCGTGGTCTAAATACCAAAACATTAATAAATATCCTGACATCCTATCAGTCCTTCCTTGTCTTCTTTTAAATTACATCATCAAGGATGCTACAGAGTGGATCTCAAAGGTTTACCTTAGAAATTGACTTAGCAGGTCTGGGGTAAGACCACGGATTTCCAAACAGCTCCGTGGGCTCTTTGGTCCCTGGCCTTATCTTACTTTTCCTACACTATTTCTTTAACCCAGTTTCTTCACTTATATCACATAATTGTACTATGTGTACTTTTCTAAGATAGTTCAAAATTTTTGGATGGGCCAGAATTGACAGGAAATCATTGGAGTAATTCAGGGTCAACTAAACATTCCTCAAGGAAATATAAATTAATATATTTTTCCTGGGTGATAACTTAGCAAACTGTATTTGTAACTTAAATAAATTTTCAGCCTATCAAAGCTTGAATGTTTTATCAAAGCAGAATGTGGTCAAGGTTGGGGGAAGAAATGAGTCCTATAATGAAAAACTGTGATTCCCCTTCCTACCCAATTGGTAATTACCTTTTCTTTTTTGCAGTTAGAGCCAGGACTTTGTAGGTACATGCACTGACCTACCATCATTCTCTACAGTTAAAAAGTGACACCATGGCAGCTCCCCACAGCATGAAGCAATTCATCTCTGTGGTGGTTGAAAGGCAAGACTTACTTGTAGAAATACTACATTTCATAAAAACAACATAATTTCCACCCACACAGTGGTAGATTTGATAAAATGCATCATAAAGAAAAATCCAGAATACAAAGTACTTAGCAGTTGGATCATTAAGTCATTAGTTGACAGGCAAACCTCAGGGTGCAGCTTCATGTCAGCCAAAACCACAAACACCATGTACAACAAATGGGAACACAAACTACAACATGTTAACAGTTGAAAAATCATTCCTGTTTAACTTAGGGTTCTACCCACATCTCTAGGTCAATTTTGATTTATCAACTTTGAAAATGCTTTTATCAATATATATATATATAACAGGCTTTCTAATAATGATAATGATGAACAGCTATATACCAGAGACATTTTGTGGGGGTGTAGTGGGAAATGGGATCAAAAACCGTGGGGGGGGGGGAGGGAAATGCACTGGACTATGGTGATGGCACAGGATGATTTGGTGATGGGAAGCCCACAGGGATTACAACTGAGATGGAAAAATGCACAAAATGATGTAAAAATAAATGTGTGTGTGTATGTGTGTGTATAAAAACTGGCTTTCTGCTTAAAAATACATAGTTTGAAAAAAAAAGCCATAATTTTCCTTAGTATAATCTAACATCAAGGGCAGTATAAAAAAAAAAAAGTTTATGGATAAACCTGGATGAGTGGATGTGTCTGGGTAAAGTTTAATGTGTACCTACACATCAAGGAGAGAAGGAGGCGGGGTGGCAGCCGGGGTGCATGGGCAGTCTGGGGTCTGGTGGTACCGTAGGGGACTGGACAAAATGCCTGATGACAGTGACACTTGCTAGCAGTGTTCCAGTAAATCCACCTGAGGTCTCAGGTGTCACATATCATTTCTGTCAGACAAAAACACAAAGGTGATTTTAAAGAAAATGAGTTTTTAGTTTCTTTTCAAATTCAGCAAAGGTGTATTTTCCCCTGATCAAATGAAGGGCCTGCAGCATCTGCTAAAGTGAAGAAGAAACTAAGAGTCCAAATACAGCCAAAGGATGCTCCCTCAGCTGTTATCATTCACGAAGGTGCAAGGTCTGGGGGAGCATTGAGCAAGGAACTGACTGAAGACTACTGTACATGAGAAACATTTTGGTAATCTGAATGAGAAAATACATAATTCCTCCAAGTCACACTGGTCTTTCCTCTTCCTTTAGCTCTCCCCTCTCTCTTCACCCCTTATTTGCAGAGCCTAGCAGAAATCTAGATGAGAGACGTATGTTTTGTGGTCCCTAACTGAGCATCACAAAGCAAATATACAACAGCAAGGAGTGTGTGGGAAGCCCAAAGATAACAGCTTAATGGCCAGCATGTTATACACCTTCACCTATTCAGCATCTGTTCACAGCCCTCTACCCAAAGTTGAATTCCCTTACGACAAACCTTGTTTTGTTGTTACATTAAGGTATAACTACCCTTCCTAAAGATGTCCTTTCCCTTCTCAAAATGGAAACAGAGTCTTAACTCCTCAAATTCAGTAGCAATCCCATTGATTGTTCTGTGGCCTGAAAACCAACCCAAACAACTCAGTTTTGTTTTTTTGTTTTTGTTTGTTTTTTTTTTTTTTTTTGGTTGCTTTTGTTTTTGTGGGGCAAGAGGAAGAATAAATATGTCTCCAGGTACAGGAGACAGAGATAAAAGTAGAAAACCTAAAACATGCCCCGAAGTAGGAACAAAACAGAGAGTGGCGAGGGGGAGGGGTCAGGCATGAAAAGTGGAGTTACATAGTTAAAAGAGCTGATTCTCGAGAAGCTTCAACTATTTTTGGCTCTATAATGAGTTACAGATTCTGTTCTCTGGCAAAAAGTTGATATCCATTTGTGATGACTTCTTAGACAGTGCTTGCCTGATGTCTTAAAACAATTTAGCCCAGTTCATAGGACAAGGGGTAATGCATTTTCTCTGGAGTGACTCCTTTTTAAAAATGGCTCCTCCCTGATGGCACAACAGGTTAAAGTGCAGAGCTGTGAAGCTATCTGCAGTCACTGCAACACAAGTTCAATCCCCAACCGGGGAGCTGCCCACGAGGTGCAGCAGACTTCTGTCTCGTTCGCCGCTCCCCTCAGCAGTCTATTTAAGTAGATCTGCCTGTTTTGCTCCCCAATGTGTCTCTGGTGAATCCTCTCACCATTCCCCCCAGCCGCCCCCATACCTCGGCCTACACGATAGTTCTTGTAATCATGATAAATAAATCTTTAAAAAAGAATGGCTTCACAGTTACCAACTTTTCATAACCCTCCCAGCACGGTCCATGGTTGTCACAACTTGTGATTCAGTATGTCACAGTCCCTGCTGAAAGCCTCCCTCTCTTGGAAACAAGACTTCCAGACCATCAGATCTCACAGTTGCAGCAACAAGGAGCTGAAACTCAGTGAGCTACTAGGTGTGATAGTAAAAGGAGCCACTCCCACATCACCAGGAATTACTGACCGTTTTGTCTTATTCATAGTCATCGGTTACTGATGCAAAGTGCCTATGCCATCCTGCAAGACAGAACCTTAGCTGCAAGTAAATGAATTTTCAGCTCATTCTGCTGTTCTAATAGAAAAGCAGCTTCTGGGAATGGAGTACAACAAGACTAGTAAATTCCATACATACCAGATTGCTGCCACACTGTTGAACAGTGAACATTTGTGTCAACCTCAAATTAAAGATGGGTACCCCCTACTCCCTAATGTGATGATATCTGGAAATGAGACCTCTGAAAGACAGTGAGGTTTAGACAAGGACATGCATGGACTGCCTTGTAAGCTCCAGCCTGGTACAAGCTCCGACCAGACCGCCTGATAAGAGAGGCTAACTAGTAGCTACAATGTTCCTCCTCTTGTGCTGAAGGCTGAGAGCCTCTTCTGTGTTAATTTAGATTCAGTAAGGTCATCAGGGTGTCCTCAAGACAAAGACAGCTGCCACCAGTGACCCCCACATCCCAGGGGTAGGCTTGTCTTAGTATTGCTGCCTTTCGTGCTAAGTGGAGCTCTAAGGATGCAAACCCTGGCCCAGGGACAGTGATGACAACAGAGTGGGTCTCCTGGGTAATTACTTTCCCATAGCTGTGTTTTTGCACAGGATGTGCTCAAAGTCACACTCTGGCTCCAGTCAGCCTTCACCTGACTGAATGGCACTGAACTTGGATTCTCCATCTATTCTGACTGGTCCTTCCACATAGTGAGCCCACAACCTTTCTGTCACTTGTCTTCTAAACCTGCTCTTTGCAAGTTCTCAGGTCCACCCAATGTTACTAACTGCCCTTGAGTGCTAGACTTCATTAGGTCCATACTTCTGGAGAGCGGTCCGCTGAGGCATGGAGACAACCAAGCCACTCCTCAGTTCTCCCTCAGAAGACTTCCCTTCACTGGCACCTTTCAGACACATCCCTAGTCGATATTATATTGCTCAGTGGTTTTTGTAGCAACTGGCAGAATAAACTAGAAACTGCCTCCTAGTCAGAGGGTGACTGGAGCTTCCAAGCAGTCATTCCAAATTGAGAGAAAGATAGCCTTGCAGCAGGCACAGGTGGCCAGGATTGGGCCATCTGCTGGGGGACTTACTTGTGCCTAACCCACCTTTGTGGTCCCATCCCTTCTATGCCATGCCCACCTGAAGCAGGTGCACACTATGGCCCAGGCTTGCTGGAGCACACAGCATCCATTTCCCAGCTATATTGTCAGGCTTACCAGAGCTGAGTATCAAGTCAGGAGCTATTTCCCAAAAGGAGAAGAGTTGTCTTCAAAAAAGAGTATGGAGTAGGGCCCTCCCTGGTGGCACAGCGGGTTAAAGCACAGCACTAAGAAGCTAAAGCCACTTCCGCATGAGTTCGATTCCCGCCTGCCCCGGAGGTGACCACATGGTGTGGCAGACCTCTCCTGACCTGCCCGCTGCTCCCCTCAGCAATGTACTTCGTCGATCTGCCTGTTCTGTTCCCCACT